GCTCTTCCGATCCTTTCATTACCTAATTAATACCATCAAATTACCGTTTTTTCATTCTCCACTTACGTCAGATCAACCTTGATTTGACGTTTATTAGGTCAGATCCAATAGATTTTCTGACCAATCTAGAGGTCAAATAGACATAATTTTGACTAGTTTTGCTGCTTGGGAATGTTCTTTGAGATATTCTGTTCGCGTTGCATATATCAACCTAACCAATATATGCTCACGAGCATCATACACAGCTCTATCAATGATTACTCTTTTTAATTTAATTCTAACAATATTTTAACATTTTAAATAATGTTACTTACGATTCACATTCGAAATGAAACGACAAGAAATGAATTTCTATTGTGATCGAGAGTCCTCGTGCACATGCAGTGATACTGATATGGCACAGAAGCTTCCCGAAGGTTTCCAGCTTCCGGCAGTCCCGGAATCGCCAAGATCTGCGCAGAGCGCTCTGCGCATTTCATGTAATTCTCTAATTGGTGCGTGTGAGCTGGGATTATAGCGTCAACTGACCCAGCTAGATGTCGACTAGTCCCATGATAAACATATTTTTAGAAGTGAGATTTACTACAGAAAATTTTGGGAGTAGAAATTGTAATTTTACTAATTTTTTTGCGACTGACATGAGATATAATAAAACAATGAAATTTTTAATTTAGATAACCGATTTGAACTCTTACTAACGTTTAAAAAAGATATAAAATTTATAATTAAAAATACATAATCTCGAATTGTTTCGAGTTACTTTTTATATTTTTTTATATTAATAAAAATTAATGAATCGATTAAAGATTTTATTTTTGCTTAAAAAACAAGAATTTACACAGATAAATGTTTCATAATTTATCTGATGAACTATGAACATTGGAAATAACAATTGGTTGTTTGTGACAACTTTTATCACAATATTCATTATCAAATTTGAGTACATGAAAAATTTAGTAAACAGTTTTTTCTTCTTACATATTTGTTCAACACACTTTTTGAATAAACTTTTATAATGACGCAAAACAGATTTTTATTTTATCCTGATAAGGATAAAATAAAAAGGATCCTATAAAGGTTCTGATCTGGCATACCTCACTACGGCATGCCAGATCAGAACCTTTATAGGACCCTTTTCATTTTTCCCTTATAAGTGTAAAATATAAAGGGTCCTATAAAGGTTCTGATCTGGCATGCCATAATCAGGCTTACCTTATTTATATCTGATCAGGACCATATATGACATACATGCCTTACCTAATTTCTACTCGGGAATACCCTTTTAAGCCACGCGAGATGCTCATCGAACGTTTGTGATACGACAACGATGTCGTCGAGATACGCGAATGCATGTAGCTCCATTTCGGGCCCTCTCAACCGTTCTAGCAATCTTTGAAATGTCGCGAGGGCTCCCGTTAGGCCGTACGACATCTTTGTGAAATGATAGAGCCCCTTCCCCGGAACCGTGAATGCCGTATATTCTTTACTGCCCTTTTCCAGCGGAATTTGGAAGTAAGCTTGACTTAAGTCGATAGTCGAGATATAGCGTGCCGATCTTAATTTGTCTAGAATCGCGTTCACAATATATACAGGGTGATTCAGAATAACCCCGGTGTCCCTGTAAAGACGTATTTCTTGACTCAATTCTAAGACGATTTTTCCTTTACAAAAATTTTGTCCGAAGCTTAGTTTTCAAATTATAACGAGAAATAATTAGCGAATTACGAGCCGCGTACGGATAGTAGACAGGGGCGGCGCAACTTACTGTCCGCCGGCAGGCGGTACGCAGGACCGTCGCGACGATCAGTTGACTACACGCGCGCATAAACATGCGTTTACATTCTCT